CCATCTGGAAGTAGGAAAATATTACATATCTATAGACACATAAACATACATAAAAACCTAGAAAACTTATAGCTTCTATTCCAAAATTTTAGCCCATACATCAGGGGTAAACCCAAAAATACAAAACTCATTTTTCATATAAAAAGAGCTCTTCTCTAATGGGTACAAATTCTTAGTTGATTTGAGTTCAAAATTGGGGGAAAATGAACAAACAAACAGAAAAGAGTAACAAACATGATTTTCTGTCATCTTTCATTCAAAAGAGAAAAATATCTATAAACCATTTAATTCACTTACAGAGAGAGCCAAATTATCTAACTACAAAACCAAAAAAAAAAAAAAAAAAAAACAACATCACCAAAAAACAACTAAAGACTCAAAAAAAAAAAAAAAATCAAAATCAAATTCTTACCATGCTTCCAACAGACAAGAGTCCGGACATAGGACCAGGATCAGGACTCACCTTTAGACCCCTGGGTTGCCAGCCAGGAATGGAGCACAAAAGGCTCCAGATGGCCTTATTACCTGGCCGGAGCAGATGGGAATCTGGAGGCAAGGTGCCATCCTGAGGCAAACTGTCAAAGACAAAAACCAGACAAGTTAGGAGACCAAAATGAGGGAGACTATCACAATAGGAGTATCAACCCCAGTCTAAATATCTTCAGAGCACCTCTACTCTTATAGACGTTTGCAAATGAGGTGGTTTTACACCCTGGCTTTGCAAGCTGCAGAAATAAGCCTTATTTATCAAAACAGGAAATGGTTTTTCCCAAATATGGCTAGCTTGCGACCTTCGGAGAGCAGAGAGTTTTAATCTCCGTTAATCAACCATGAGCTAAAGAACAGGATGTGAAAGTGTCTTGTTTTGCCTTGTCAGCACATTCAGACCAAAGGGGAAAGTGCGTGGGGTTTTGTCACACGTGATCAAAGATCTTGAAGCCAAGAGCTTCGAGCGGAAGTAACAGCACGTGATCAAAGGTCTCGGAGCCAAGAGCTTCAAGCGGAAATAACAACAACACAGGAAATGAGACTTCTAGCCCCCCCTGAAGAGAGGCTAAATCCTTCCTCAGCCCAGTGGGCTCTTCTACATGGAATACACTTACTTTCCATGCCCCCCACCCCGCCACACACACGCACCTCCTTACATGTAGCCTCTCTTCCCCTCTTAACACTTCTATCCACATCTCTCCATTTCCAGATGCCAGCCCGCTCTATCACCCAATCCCTTCAAGGCTACTGCGATACCACCTAAATGGTTTCCTGCCTTCCTGACTTTTCTCCCACAATTCAGTTTCCAAGAAGCAGTCAAAGTGAAGAGGTGAAAACTGATTTTTTACTACCCTGTTCAAAAGTTTTCAGTCTCTCCCTGTTACCTTTCCAAAATCGTCTACACTGCATAGCACAATGTGCAAGCCTTTCACATTCTGGCTCACCTCTTCTTTTGCCAGCCCTGAGCAGACTCTACTCTCCAGCTCTGTTGAACACTTGCAGTTCCCAAACAGCCCATGCTCTTCTCCACGTCTAGACCCTTGTTTGTGTTTTCCTTTCTGCCTCCAATGCCCTCTCTCCACCTGGCTACGTCCTTAAGGACATGCGGGCTAAGTCCTGCATGTATACATGAGGTTTAGATGACACACACTCCGGGCTCGCCCCTGGCCCCACCTGTTCTCTCAGCCTTCCCAAATCTGAATGGGCTGCAACTTCTCCATTCCATACTCTCTTCTTTCATAGTACTTACTGTACCATTTGGAAAAGTGCTCTTTGCCTGTCTCTGCAAATAAATGAGAAACTCCCTGAAAGCCAAGACTATCTGTTCTTTATTGATTTTTCATGGCAAGAGTGATGGGGGGGAGGGGGGGTGGAGGGGTTGTGGTAGTGAGTGGGCATCATTCCCAGAAGTCAGTGCCTGATGTATCACAAACATGCAGCGAACCCTTGTGAGATTATTAAGTGGGCGAACTTACCGTGCGCCGTGACAATTGGACAAGATGGTGGGATGATACAACATATCGCACAACCGTGTTGGGGAAACACAACAAGCTTCTGTGAAGCAATTAGAAAAAGCCGAGGACTACATGGGGTAGAATATGAAATTGATTTATTTTTTTAAAAAATGTGTCACACTTTCACAAGACCTAATGAACGTGTGCACGCACCCACCAGCCGCCTTCGGGGTCTGGATGTGCGCTTATTTGGGAGTCGCCTCTCTTCACTCAAAAACGGGAAGGAATTCCTCTCTAGATCCTGCTTCCAGAAACAGTATCTGAGCAAGCTGCATTCTGAAATCCATTTTGCTCCTTTTTAGTTAAGCACCACGAATATCCTCCCGGCTTTCATGACTAGGGAATGCACTCCCCAGAATCAAATTTACAATTACAACGATCCTGGCACCACACAGTGCCCTGTGCATACACAAGACTTGATAACTTCTTGCTGAATCAGTGACCTGCAGAAGTTTCCCGACCCCCTCGGGAATGATTGTGATTTTCTTAATTTCCCTGATTTTCTTCTGCTGAAACATTCCGCTTGCAATACCGCTCATGATTATTCAGACCATAGTCAAAAGGAAAAAAAAAAATCTTTACCCTGAGTAACCATATTCATAAACATGAGTTACAGAGTCTGAAACATTTTCCAAAGGAGCGTGCTCTGAACCTGCACAGCGGCACCACAGGTAAACTGCCTTTTAAAGAAACTGCATCTCAGCAGAAGATATTCATGAGAATACGGAAGTCCTGAGGTTGAACCTGTCTGTCTTAATTTGGGCTCCCCCAGAAGCAGATCCTGACACAGGGTTTATTGCAAATAGACGTGGAATAAGATCCCAGGAAATATCAGTAAGGGGATGGAGAATGGGGACAGGCAAGAAGCAGCCGCCGAGAGAATATCCTTGTGGGAGACCGGGTCTCAGCCTCCAGGAGGCACGGTGGCACACTTCTCAGAGATCGTGGGAGGACTGAGAAATCTGGGATATGTCACGCACTAATTCCCATTGGACGAGAACGGCTCTGGGGATATTAATGCCGCAGCATCTCCAGCCCATCTGACATCAGGCCAAGCATGCTAGCTTGCCAGAGGAAGCCCTTAGAACACCACCGGTCCTTGTAGCCTGAGGCAGTTTCCCCAACCACCGAGTCCTCAGGAGACTTGGGCGAGGAACACGGGCAGTGTCCGTAACTACACTTTGTATAGTCAGGTTCTGAACCGCAAGATGCATTCGCAGAACTTAGACTCAGTCGCACGTCAGTTGAACGCAGCCAACTGCACCTGTAACAGGCTGTCTCAGCTCATACCCAGCAAAAAAGAATTACGAATTTCTTTAGCTTCGTTACATTTCTGCAAGGTGCCATGCAGTAACTGGAATTCTAAACTCTTCTCCAAAATTTTCTGCCCTCCTTTTGTGCCTAAGGGAGTCTAGTTCCCTCAAGCAAATTAAGCATGCTTATCCTCTCCCTGGAACCTTGATCCAACCCACCCTTTCAGAAGCAGATCCTATAGTGAGCAGTCCAGTGCGGGGGAATGTGTTAAGGAAGTACTCCCACAAGAAACCAGGAGGGGAGGAAAGGAAGCAGAGGAGGGAAGAGGAAGAATCCAAATCAGGCTGTGATTTCCATAAAGCCCCAGTCTGCAGCCTGATCTCGCAGAGAGCTCTGGAGTATAAGCTGCACTCCGGTGGTGGTCTTGTCTTAAGACGACAGAGGAGGGCCCTTGCATTCCTACAGTCACCCAGGATTAGTAACAGCCTGCCCTGAAGGAGTGTGAGGCCCCAGTGCCCAGGCACAGTCCTCTCGAGCAAACAGGAAGAGGCTAAGAGCCAGTAAAAGGGATCTGAGGGCACAGTAAGTTCACTCCTCTGTCAGAGTCTTGCATTTTCTGGACAGTCACAATTTCTGGGGGAAAGAGAGTTAGTGGAATAAGCTAATCTCCTGTGGCTGCTTTGGTCCTAAGACCACAGGTGGTACTGACCCTCTCCTTTCTCAATCCCTCTTGTAGATTGCCCTTAAGCTTTGGTGGATACTTCTCACATTCATCTCTGAGGAGCCTGGGCCCCCAGTTGCCATGTTTTATGAGACCATAGCACAGGAGTACCAAGAGATGCCCCAGTGGGCTTCCTGAGTGCCAAACGCTCACTGCCTGATCCCATTATACAGCAGCAACCCCTGCTTATGCCCCAGTAACTTCCCTCTTTCACCCTCTCCTGATGCTACAGTCCTGCTGAGTTTCAGCCCAAGATCCCACCTCTTCCATGAAGCCTTCCAGATGCTTGCAGACCTCAGAGCTTTCTTCTTCCCATGACTCGCAGAACTTACCTTAGGGCTCTCGTTTGGCCTGAATCACATTTCACGCCGTGATTCCTCATTACAGGGTCTTTATTGACTTGGGACAGTATCATTTGGTCGACTTCTGAGGGTAAGTCTTGTCTTTCCAGTGGGAACCTGAACAGTATTTACCGGCTACCTCCAGGGCCCAGCACGGACTGTGTGCATCCCGGGGCTTAGTGAGCACATGCTGAGTTCGCAGCTGAACAGCTCACAGTAGAGCACCTCAGCACCCTCGGACTGGACCCTGATTCTCTCATCAGCAGTCTTGCTTCCCAGAGTCCCCTGATTTATTTGGCTTTCAATGACACTCTCACTCAGTCCACACTCATCTTTCAAACAAGAACAAAGAAAGACAGTTTTGATAAATGTAACTCTTTCACATTTTGAGGCATATATTTTTAGATATTTTATTACAAATGACTCACAGATTGAGCCATAAATTCCCCCCTCGCGCCCCCCCCCCCCAGAGAAATCTTCTCTTTTGTGGTACTGTTTCGACCTTGGTGTTGACAAACGTAGCTTGTTTGGGGATAGTGAGTATTTGTGAAGAAGGCGTAGAAGACATTTTCAATAATCACATAAAAAAATCCATTTAACTTACACTCAACGCCTCTTTGGTGCCAGGAATTGCCCTAGGTATTTCATACAGACTGGATTGTCTAGAAATTTTTTTTTTTTCCCTCTTGTTTCTGTTGCAGTGTTTTGAAGCATGGCATAGCCTCTTGTGGAAGCTTAAAGAGAGAGGGAAAAACACAAGTCACATCATTTTGCAATTAATTGCTTCTTCTGGGAAGGCTCTTCCTTGTAAATTGTGGTATTTATCTCGCTGTATTTATTATTCCTGATTGTTTCTGTCTTGTATACTGTACGCAGAAACAGAAAATGTATACAAAAATAGAACTAATCTTGACTATGTGACTCCAAGTATGTCATCTACTCCCCACAAGCAGTACTGGAATGAAATCAAGTATTTATAGGACTAGTAATAAAAGGTAAGGTACATCTGAATGCTTGCTGTGGGCCAGGCACTCTGTACAGTACTTTATACACATCATCTCAGTCAATACTCATAGCAAGTTCCAGAGACAGGTGCTATTAGCTCTGTTTTATAGATACAGATATTAAGGCTCCGAGAGGCTGAGTCACTTCCCAAAGCTCACACAGCTAGTAAGTATAGGGGCTGAAATAACACTGCAGAGGGCAAAGAGCCCTGGTTCTCTACTTGGAGAGGACTTACTGAGGCCTATTCTCAGCCCTGGTCTTGCCAGCCAAGGGACCAAAAGTAAATCACAAACACTTTAGGCTTCCATTTCTTCACTTACCGACTATAACCCCGGACTGTTATTCACACCTGTCCACCCATCCATTTGTCTGTCTTCGAATGTTTAACTTTCACTGCTTTTTATTTTGTTTATGAGTCACTGGAAGCTCTCAAAGAGCAGGAAGTAGGTCATGCTCATATTCATGCGTATAGCTCCTAGGCCACTGTTTCATATACTTAAATTGACTCGTTTAATCCTTAAAATACCATAATGAAGGTTTTATTTTTATCTGCACTTATTTCACACTTAAGAAGGTTACTAGACCCCAAAGAAGATTATATTAAAGATGTCAGATGAGGGGCGCCTGGGTGGCTCGGTCGGTTAAGCGTCCGACTTCAGCCAGGTCACGATCTCGCGGTCCGTGAGTTCGAGCCCCGCGTCAGGCTCTGGGCTGATGGCTCAGAGCCTGGAGCCTGTTTCAGATTCTGTGTCTCCCTCTCTCTCTGCCCCTCCCCTGTTCATGCTCTGTCTCTCTCTGTCTCAAAAATAAATAAACGTTAAAAAAAAAAAATTAAAAAAAAAAAGATGTCAGATGAAATGATGTCAGATGAATCATCTGGCTTAGAATCCATGTTCTTAAAGTTACTATGGTATACAAGAAAGTAGTTTACTTCTTTTTAAATCCACATCTAGTTCAGAGTAGGTTTTTAAATGGCTTTCGTCTCCCCTTTCATTGGACTCTTTCACTCTTGTTTCTACTCTGTGATCTGTTTTTAGTTTTGTGTAATCAGAGATGTGATTTTCATTGCACTCGATTTGAAAAATCCCAGATGTTGGGGCACCTGGGTGGCTCATTGGTTAAACGCCCAACTCCCGGTTTCGGCTCAGGTCCTAATCTCATGTTTCGTGGGTCCAAGCCCCACGCCGGGCTCCACGCTGATGGTGTGGATGGAACCTGTCTGGGATTCTCTCTCTCTGCCCCTCTCCTGCCCACGCTCTCTGTCTCTGTCTCTCTTTCTCTCTCTCTCAAAATACATAAACTTAAAAAATTTTTTAATTAAAAAAATAAAAATCACAGATATTAAATCTCATATATATATTAATACTAATTTCTCGTTGATCTTTTTCTTAGGAGCAACATTGAAAGAAAAATGGCTTCCTGTAATTTTCAAGCTTTAAAGCCTTAACTGTGAAGGGTAGCAAAATTTGGCCACCGCAAAATATGCCACTTCAGCATATGGATTATTTCAGACTGAAGGCAATTAAGAAGGACCAGACCGCCCTCCCCCCAAAAGAAGAAGAAAAAAAGCTCTCTGCTTTTCTCCTATTTGCCTAAAAGCAAGACATAAAATTATAAAAGTGTCTCCTTTACCCTCTGTACCAGAAAGGACAAAAGTTAATCACCATAGACCATTTTAGTCCCTTCTCAGCCTGGAGGTGGCATGAGAGAAAACCAGATGCCAGACTGTGGTGACTAGCCTTTTTCTGCCATTAGTTTCCCTTAGAGTTGTTCTCACACAATTTGCTGGCCTGGAGACCCACAGTCCTTTTCCTTTATCTCGTCTCTTCCCTAAAAATACCTTTCCTTGCTAAGACCAGGTTCTAACCACAACTATGAGTCACTCATCTCCAGTTTCTCCTACGTATACATAACATAAACACGTTAATAAAACTTCTCTTTGTTTCTCTCCTGTTGATCTGCCTTTTGTTACAGAGCCCTGGTGTGGGGTGGAGAGCCACCAGTCAAGAAAGAATTCTTGAGCCATTTTTGTTGCAAAAAGGCCCCGTGAGCAGAAAGAGCGCACTGGGAGTGTGAGGAATAACTGATTAGGTACTTTTTAGTTAGTGGGGGGTAGGAATAGCCTTAAGTCTCTAAGGAATTTGGAAGCAAGGTTTCCAGGACCCTGAGGGGCTAGCTGCTGTTAAGATAAGGTTATTTACTCCTATCTAGTAAAACATTAGTCATGAGACCCTTCCGATGTGTATCAGTGGGCCGTATGTTTGAAGGACGATTGCTAACATATATGGGGTGGAGGGGATATATATGGTTATCAGAGGGAAGGAACACTGACCAGAGCGAAGCTCTGGTGGTGAAACATTAAAGGAAGTCCTCGAGGTAGCTGTAGGGGTGTTACAACCTGTGTGCTTCAAGAATCCTGCCTGGAGACTATGAGCCGCGGCGAAGTCCAGCCTTTTTTCCCTTGTTCCCCCATCAAGCCTTCGCTGAAAACCTAGAAGGGTGAAAACATAAATATTTGTCTCCTCCCCTACAAATGCAAGGTCATAATCTCACACAGGTCCAGGATGAATGTAAGTAACAGATACAAGAATCTGAATGACTATAGATCTTGCCTCTTAGACTATGAGAAATCCAGGGTTTAGATGAAAATTAACGCACATCTGAGAGACACAAAACAAACACCATGAGCATTAGGTCCCAGATATGCTAATTTGGCCCTAACAGGACACAGAAAACATAAAATACATAGGGACTGAAAAAGGTTGCTAATTCCCTAAAAAGAAAAGCAAGAAATGGTTCAAGAATAAACCTAAGTGAAGTACCATTTTAAAAAATAAGCTCTCTTAATTTTTTTTTTAAAGGAAGCAGTAAAGTATCTGAAGAAAACTAGCCAAGTAGGCATCTCATTGTGAAAATCTGAAGGTATAATCAAAGAATCTCCAAAACAATTTCTGACAATCAACCCCCCCCCAAAGATTTAGATCAAGAAACAAATGAGTCCAAACCTAACATAGAAACAGATTCACTTTTTAAGGTGACTTTTATCATTTACTTAAAAATCTGCATCAGGAAATATAAAATGGATATTCACCAACCGCCAAATGACTACTTCCCCACAAGTTCTGAACCCACTGCAGCTCATTGTTACAGTCATTACCAAAACCATATACACATACCTTCTTCCCAGCCTTCCAGCCATTGTTTTGGGGTTCACTAGGAAGACATGCCCTTGTGGCCACAAGTTAAACAAATTCAGAAGACAATGGAATGGAGTGAATGCAGAATAGAATAGAATAGAATAGAACACAACACAACAGAACCGAATGGAATGGAATGGAATGGAATGGAATGGAATGGAATGGCATAGAAATAAAACAAAATTCAAGCATACAATTTGAAACTATGGGAATAATATGCAAGGTAAAGACAGATGGTAGAGAGACAATTGCTAGATGATAAATAGGTACATAGATGATAGATAGACAGATAGATAGATAATAGATAGATAAAGAAATACAGAGGGGCACCTGGGTGGCTCAGTCAGTTAAGCTTCCGACTTCAGCTCAGGTCATGATCTCACGGTTCGTGGGTTCGAGCCCTGTGTCGGGTTCTGTGCTGACAGTTCTGAGCCTGGAGCCTGTTTTGGATTCTGTGTCTCCCTCTGTCTGCCCCTTCCTTCTCCACTTACACTCTGCCTCTCTCTCTCAAAAATAAACATTAAAAATTTTAAAACAATAAATAGATGTGGAGAGATTTCAATAAATTTATGTTTAAAAAGGCTGGTCACAGTATTCTCTCAGAATGCTTAACTTTGGAAATTGATACTCCTAGGCTGTCCACAAACCAGAGCAAGTCTGCAAACTGTCCACCACCCCCCTCTGAGGAGTACTGATATTGAGAGTAAGTCTTCAGAAACTTACGACAGTCTAGCAGAGAAAGCTCATGCCTGTTGAATCTAATTATGCCTTTTAATTTTTGCAGCGATTCATTTTTACGGTATTTTATAAAGGAACCAGACTGTGATGGATTAGAAATGTAAACAATAAGACTGCCCCTTTTCCACGGGTAGCCTGAGACGTGTGTAATAAAGTTAGATTTGGTCAGGGGATGCCATGGATGCCTCGCCTCTCTGTGGCTGTACAAATCCCTGCTTTCACCTTTCCAGGAACTGTAATTGTTCCCTCGCACTGTAAGAGAGGTGAGAGGAGCTGAGTAGGCTGTGGAAAAAGGGAACGTGGCCTTCCTGCCTAGCAGCTACCAGCTAGAACCATAAACGAGCTGAACCCTCAGAATTCTGCAGGGGGCACGAGGCCCCCAGCTTGCGCATTTACACCAATTGTCCTAAAGTTATTGTTCTTGCCTCTGCACACGGTTCTTCAAAATTTTGTCCTAGACTTCATTCAGTCACCCACAGACACCACAAGATAACCTCTCCTTTGAACTCCTAGGCTAATGGGCAGTGGATATACGGGCCCCTTTCTGGCTTTGGGGAGTTAAGACAGAACCCACGATTCGCTCCCTTGTTTTGGTGGCATTTATTATATGGATGTGGTTTGCGGTCTGTGTTAGGGCTGAGCGGATTCCCAGTGGCTTGTGCGTGCACTGGAAGAGCTCAAAAGTGTACAGAGCTAAGATCTTTCTGCAAAAACAGAAGCTGTAAGCCTCAAGGTTACACCCCCCCCCCCCATACAGGCTGCTTAGCTCCAAACCACAAAAAAGTACAAAAGGTACTTTCTCAGATTTGTTTACTTTTATGTCAGATTTTTTGAGAAGAGCTGAGGGTTAACTCCCAGATTCACTTCTCGGAAAATTAATAACAATTCATTGGCCTTCGAGAGCATCTGCCTGGCACCCCCCGTCCCATAGTCCTACTGCTTGGTCCACTTGTCGCAGGGCCCATAAGACCTATAACACATCAAATCTCTGCTAATTGCCAGATGTCACAGCCATTTCCCTTCTAGATTGACTCTCCTCCTGGCAGCAAATAAAGCCTCTTCTTTTCTCACCTCTACATCCTTCAGCAAGAGATTTGTGTCAGAATACAGTCCCTCGTGTTGCCAGCCAGTGTTTTCTGCAGAAGTCCTTTGTGTCCATGCTGTTTGTGAGCTGGGATGTACGCCCTAATATTGAGTTCAGTGCTGCAGATGATGCTGATGTCGAAAAGGACCTCGGGATAGAAGTGAGAGTGTGTCCCCCAGGTGTTAGAACAACTAGAAGAGTTTAAAAGCTCACTGGCTGAGCCCCACCTTCCAGTGATCTGTAGCCCCCGCGTCCATCCCATCGCGACAGTTGGAAGTCCCCAAGGACACCTGTAGCTAGTTGTGTTAAAATTGACACTGTTGACTGACAGAGGTTTAGGCCAGAAGGCTGCCTCAGAGAGGAGAGGAGTAGTCTGATTTAAAGATGGAAAAAAATATGAGGGAAAACAGAGTTCTAAAAACTCACGTTAATATTTTAAAATAGAAGGAAAATTAGGTGAGCGCCAGTTACCTTCCAAATGAGTTTAAAAGAGAAAGCGTTTCTTTTTTTTGAATGTTTATTTATTTTTGAGAGAGAGAGAGAGAGAGAGAGAGAGAGCGAGTGTGAGCGCACGGGGGAGGGGCAGAGAGAGGGAGACACAGAATCCGAAGCAGGCTCCAGGCTCTGAGCTGTCAGCACAGAGCCCGATGCGGGGCTCGAACTCATGAACCGTGAGATCATGACCTGAGCCAAACTCGGATGCTCAACCAACGGAGCCACCCAGGAGCCCTGAGAAAGAAAGAATTTAAATGCATAAGTTGCACATAATATAAATGCATGAAAAGAAAACTCTGGGAACAGGAACAGTAAACCTGTAGGGTAAAAGAGGAAATCCAAAATGTGTCCAATGTACCTTTTATTGTGAACAACCTGGCGGTTTCTATTAAAAAGAGCCTCTTCTAAATTTCAAAATAAAATACACTTAATTATAGCCTTTGTAGAGAAGAAAAATTCCTTCCTCTGTCCTTCAAGGTCTTCCAGCCGGACTAAAAATTAAATTGACATGAGACAGATTAACGGGAGAAAAAAAAACCCAACGTTTTATTATGTGCCCATGGAGACCCATTACTGAAATTGAGACCTAAAGAAATAACCAGAGAGGGCAGTTTTCATACTTTTTAGGAAAACAGACAAGAAATCTGTAAGGAATTGACCGGACAAAGAAAACAACTTTGTGAGCTTCAGTTAGTGAGGAATTGTAAACAGCAGGTGGGCTGGGGTAGTAACTTAATAAAAAGTAACAAAAGTTGTTTATACAGCCTTCTCTGCTCTTAAATGCCCCATCTCTGGTGACAAGGATGTCCCTTTACCTCCTGGTACAGGAGGACAGCTTTCACAAGGGAGATAGATCTCCTGCTTTGGGGGGGAACAGCGTGGGGGGCAGAGTATCCTTCCTGCACAGGCTGTCTCTTAAGAAACTTTTATGTAAAATAATCAATATTCCAAAATGGCACATTTTGGGGTGGACTGCCCTTGGCTCCTACACCTACAAAGATGTGTTTAATATAACAAAATGAAAACATGCATTCAAAGTATAGAAAATAGTGCCAAAAGAGTAATTAACCGGCAAGAATCTGGTAAGTCATGTTATTACTATCACTAACTAGCACAAAACCTACCCTCAAATATGTATTAAACAAATAAATATTTAAAAGCCATAAAAAGGGAGAAGGAATATGACAACACAAAATCATGAATAAAACAATGAAAAGATAAAATAAGATTTGTATGAGAATATGATAGCAATATTAATAATGCTTTGGGAAAAAATCAGAGTGTATGTTGGAATTTAACCACTGGTTAAAAAACTGGAAAGTATAACAATTAATAAAATTTGGAATAAGAAATGAGAAATCTAGTCATTTACCTGTACCTATATAATATCTATTAGTTTATTGTGTCTACAGTGATTCAGTTCAGTGTCTGACTCCCTAATAGACTGAGACTTTCATGGGGATAGTTGGTGGGTTATGCTCAGACTCTGGTTTCCCACATAACAAATGCCTGGTAAATGCTTCTAAATGAATAAAAACGGGGGAAAAAAGAGATTTTGAAGACACAGGACAAGATCAAGAGATTTAAATCAACATAAAAGGTTAATAGTAACTTAAAAATAAAAGCGCTTGGTTCTGACAAATTTACTGGACAATGTTTCCACACATCTGAAAAAAAGAAAAAGAAAAAAGGATAAGAGTGAACAAACGATTATGCTGGAGGAGATAATATATGCCAGGCACCAGGTTCAGACTTTACAATTTTAAAAAGGGAAGTGTGAGAATCAAAACAGAAGACATTGAAATATCAATGTTTGTGGGTGATATGATTGCATAACTAGAAAACAAGAGAAAAGTAAACCCAAAAGACAAATTAAGCTCTTTTTGCTGTAGGATGAAAGGAAACACCAAGCACTGCAATTAAATTCTTAGGCACTAGTGGTAGCTAGAATATGAAATAAATGAAACCCATTCCTGGCAGCAAAAAACTGAGTACTT